TACAAGTTTAGTCCTTTACATGCATAAAATATGGTGCTCCTACTATTCTATCACATATCTACTAAGCTATGTTGACTTTGATGGTTTGAGGGTTCTTGGAAGACACCTCCACCACATTGACGTTTTGCAACCTTCAACTTGTTTACTAGGGACATATGATACAAAAAATTGATATTGCTTGTGGAGATTTCTCATCACACAAAAATTATACACTATTTTTTAGTCTTTTATAATATAATCAATCTTTGTATGGTGAAGATTTTTCTTATACCCAGATAAATTCTCAATTTATAACTTATGTGACATGAGATGAGCTGAATGAAATATTCGCATTATAATATGATCGGAAATTGAACTACAACTACTATCCTCATAAAGCTAATCAAGTGGATTTTCAATTTAATCATTTTTTACATAGATAATTCTTGAAAGAAAAAAAAAACCTAAAACATGAATGATTTTGATAATTAGATTACTGTTTAAAACTAAGATATCTTTATTTGAGAAAAACAGAGATGGAGAAAGGCTCCACGCCGAAAAAGAAAAAAAAAAGGTTTCATTCTGTTTGCTGGCTATGGGGTTCGAACCCATGCGCACTTATGTGCAGAAGATCTTAAGTCTTCCCCCTTAACCTCTCGGGCAAACCAGCTTGGATACCATCCCATATGCATTCGGTGAATGATGCATCACTCATTTTTATTAATCTTATAGTAAATGGTTGACGTTTTTGAAAATAAATTAATAAATGATAATTCTTCCCTTCTTACCCATAAGGAGGAACTCCTCCTTGCCTACTGATGTGACTCAACCACAATCTGTCACGTGTCTCTTTTGTTAAGAATAATTAAAGTGAAAAATAAATGCACATTTGAGAATATTTTTTTTAAAAAATAGACATCTTATATTGTGGTTGAGCCACATTAGTAGATAAGAAGGAGTTCCTCCTTATGAGCAAAGAAGGAAGCATTATCCTTTAATATATACGATAACACATAATAAAGGACAACCCTTTGAAAGATTTTATTGTATAGAATAGACTAGCTACTAGCCAAAACCTTACTAAAGCACCCTCGCATGACAACTCAGACCACGTAATTCTGCGACTACCCCTGATAAAGACTAGACCTGCTTATATTTTGGTATTACATAACTCTTTCATGATACCACCATCCATGTGGGTGTATTCACCAAATCGCACGGAAGAATCGCTTGCATTCAAATCTTATCTTTGTTGCCTTCATTTTGCAGCAGAACTACTTACATATTACATGGCAGGGATTTTTCAGCTAAAGAAGGAAACATTTTGATCCACAACCTCAACCTAAAACAAACAAGAAAAAATGAGAATCAAGACAATCTTCTGAAACAAATGAGGCTGAAGGAACCAACTTGGCAAATGACTGAAAGACTCGTTGCCGGATCAATTGCGCAAGTCTGTCCGAATAACACCATTATTTTGTATTCTCTAATGGACCAATCCGCCGAGTGTTCCCCACACATAGAAATGCTGCACTGGCTTCTCAAAGAAGCTAATAAGTTTCAAAGTTCGCAGCCCATCCCACACTTCACGTTGCCTTTTAAAAGCCACACAAACATATTTGTTCAATTTGAGTGACAAAGTCAAAAGAATTTTCCACAGAAAAGAATTGATTTGTAGGCTAACAAAAAATCTGAGTGACAAAGTCAAAAGAATTTTCCACATAAAAGAATTGATTTGTAGGCCAAAGAAAAATCAAATCATGATATAAGTAAGTATTCCCAACATTTTCGACTAAAAAATTTATATTCTTATTGCTGAGCTTAGTTGGTTGGATTTTTACTTTTTGTTGTATTGTTGTGCCCTTTTGTGGTTTCGTAATAAAATTTAGGGTTTGTCCAATATAAGTCCATACAATTTCTACTTCCTAGATATATAATTCTATAAATCTATGTGTAAAACCCAATTTTATACTTAAATGACCAGTAAGATATAAGCGGTTATAGTATTCCTATGTTTTTACATCGCTATCATCAGACTTTATATTTTATTTATAATGTACTCCAAGCATTTCATTAACTGCCATAATTGTAATTAAAACTCCCTATTAATACCTAAAATGCAAATTAAATATAAAAGGGAATTAAAAACCATAAGGAAGTTTAAAGTGCAGTAATCTGTAGACAGAGAAAACTTTTATCTTGATGTGAATGGAAAAGTCTGGCTTATTATGCTTCACAATTCAAATTCACTGTATACAATTTTCTATTTGATTCAACAACAAAAAAAAACAATTGTTGTTTTTCAATTGTTTTTGGATGTCTACCCTACATGTAATATAATATAGTAAGAACAATAGACGAAAAAGAAACTAAATGAAGAACCAAGGAAGAACTGCACTTACTGTTTGACTAGGGTAGCAATACGTCTGCAAATGTATGTACAAAGATTCCCAATCTAATAGGGTTTTATTTTTTAGGTTTATGTGGGTTTTAAATTTGAGGGCATTTGTGTCTATTTAGGTGAGTTTTTTGCTATATTTGAAATATTTTACAAAAACTGACATTTTTAAAATTGGGGGTCAAGTTTTGGTTATTTTTGATAAATTCTCCTAAAGCAACCCCATGTCTCACTCAAATCACATCGTTTGTCCTTTAGCTAAGCCTTAAAAATAGAATTAAAAGTTCGATTTCCCCTAAAAGCCATATTAATCTCTGATCATTGTGACATCTCAGATCACATAACTCTCCGATTACTTTTTTTTCGTTACATTGGGAAGAAAGAAACTCTTTGGAATTCTGAACTTGGGTGTCAAGCAGGGGGAAGGGGGAGGCCACTACTGTGGTACTTGCTCTCGACACTCTCCGACTACTTTCATAAAGACTAGACCTGCTTATAATTTGGTAACATATAACCCACTCGTGATACCATACTTGTGAGTGTGATGCCGTATACTCCAGTCGCACAAAAGAGTCGCTATTGCATTCAAATCTTTGTTGTCCTTCACTCTGCAGTAGGAATATCTGTCAGTTGGGGTGGCTGTCATAATATATTCCAGTGCTGTTAATTAACGGCCAGTATGTTGTATCAATGGGGACAAAGGAAAACAAATCCACACTCTTCTACAACAATCTAACCTATCCTTGAGCTCTGCATGGACCAAAATGGCAGAAACCAAAATATAAGAACAAAAGTTTGCACAGGCTAAAGACAGTGCCCGTGAAGAATCTGTGCAAAGCTTAATGATTATATCGATTTATTATTTTATCTCTCTCTCTCTCTCTCTGCAGCCTGTCTCTCCTCTTCAATATAATTTGAATTTCTGTGGAACATTTGTTGGTGTGGTGAGTGGGAAAGTGGTTGATGATGTGGGTAAACATTGTATCTGGATATTGAGCATCAACCCTAAGATTGACTGTTGATGGTGGGTAAACAAAAATTCTATTACCATATGATCAGTAAAAGGAATATCCACATCATCCATAACTTCGTCTGTTGATTTTAGTCTCGTGTGTGCGTATGAGGCTCACAATGCATTAACGAACATTAGTGCACCCTCACCATTACATAATTCTTTAAGAAGCAATCTCATAAAGTGGATTGTATTAGTGACGTACTTATTTAGTATACTTTGCTTCAAAAAGGTCTGTTAGCACCAAATCTCAATGATGAAGTTGGAGCAATAACCGTGGAGGGTGCATAATTGGATGTATGCTAAACTACTCTATCTGTTTTTCTTTTTTCTGAACAAAAATGATTGTAGAACAGTTTGATAAATTATCATGTTTCGAATCACACTATCATACAACCAGAAAATACTTTTTATTGGTCAAGAAAATGGTGGCAAAGTGTGCAACCAATCCAAGTCGGGATTGTTTACGGCAAAACCAGAAAATTCTTATCAATAATAATAAACCTGACATATGCAATTCAAATATAGGTCAGCAAAAAAAACAAAAAAAATAAAACTAGCCACGTGAAACATGTTAAACAACAAAAGTTTCTTGCAATAAACGTTAGGTTCAAAATTTTCTCTGGGAAAATAAAATAAAAATGACCAAATGCATACAAGCCCATATAGTTCATGGTTATCACTCACTACCAGGTGCATTTAAATATGGACCAACACCATTATCATTATCATTATTATTATTTAATATAAGCGATATTCTAAATTAAAGAAAAATGGAGTTTCTCACACACAAATATGAACCAACACCATTGATTATAAGGTTGAAAGTTTTACAACATTACTCAGTGCACCACCTCTTCATTTCTTTTGGTAGGTAGGAAAAAATGGAGGGTGACTCCACCAATCAATTGCTATTTATACCCTTCCTCAAATGGGCAGGCAAAGGAGTGGAAAGAAAGGATGATTGGTTGGTATCTCACCACTTGAGTAAAATTATATGCCCAACCAAAATGACACATTTGCTTGACATAATTTCGTGTTAACCACCAAAATCATTCTTCTTTTGGGTTTTTAAGTTTGAAAAACCCCACTTCTTTACTTGTTAGTAGCATCAACAAACTTGACGGTGGGATGTTGTTAATGAATATAAATCTTCTCTTTGTCATGGCCTTTCTTTCTTGGCTTATAATCCAAGTGGTCCATTAAAAGGACAACTTGGATTGGATTGGAAGTGAAGGGTACTGAAGACAAAGAGATAATCTGACTTTATTATTTGTACCAATATCCGACCCTTATCTCACTATCATATTTACTGATCATCTCTATTATAAATGTGGATCCGACTCCACAACCTCAATTACAAGAGTAATTCTTTACGTAAAACCAGTTGTAGACAATATAAATTACAATTCACAAAGGTGGTCAATATTTACTAATTTACGAACTCCAATTTCTATAGATACTTTCTTTTCTAAAATAAAAATTAAAAGACAAAGGAAAGTTGCAAGCTTTACATATAAGGCTTTGGCCCAAAAAACCAGGGCTTCGTAGAAAAGAAAAGCCCACCATTCTTTCTTTTCGATCCATCAAAGCTTTTTAGCGGGAACGAAGATATCCCTGGACGTAGAAGCAGAGGAAGCTTCATTTTCAGCAAAACCATGAATGAAGAAGCTCATCGTACACCTACCTATCAGAGCCTTACTGCGTCAAGGTCTCTACCCAGAAGCCCTCCAAGCCTCCACATCAACTTCACCTCTCAACCCATTTCTAACAAACCAAACCTACGCTCTTTTTCTTAAGTCGGGTCACCGCCTGGACCCCTTCCTCGCCTCAGCTGTCATTTCCCAATTTGCCAAATTGGGTCTCTTTTATCACGCCCTTCTGAAGATATCTCTGGACGCAAAAGCAGAGGAAGCTTCATTTTCAGCAAAACCATGAATGAAGAAGCTCATCGTACACCTACCTATCAGAGCCTTACTACGTCAAGGTCTCTACCCAGAAGCCCTCCAAGCCTCCACATCAACCTCACCTCTCAACCCATTTCTAACAAACCAAACCTACGCTCTTTTTCTTAAGTGTGGTCACCGCCTGGACCCCTTCCTCGCCTCAGCTGTCATTTCCCAATTTGCCAAATTGGGTCTCTTTTATCACGCCCTTCAGTTCCTCAACGACACCCCTGACCCGGATACAGTCTCTTACAACGCCCTCATTGCTGGGTTGGCCCGCTCCGGCAGACCCGGACCCGTTTTCGATCTCTTTGATCGGTTGAGGCATGTGGGTCTCAGGCCTGATGCTTTTACATTGAGTTCTTTGGTGAAGGCTTGTGATGGTTTGGAAGAGAATGAGATTGCCCATGGGGTTTGTTTGAGGTTGGGGCTTGGCTATGGAGGTTTTGTGGTTAGTGGGTTGGTTGAGAATTATATGAGGAATGGGGATGTTGGGTCGGCTGAGAAGTGTTTTAGGGAGTGTTTGGTTGTGGACAATGTGGTTTGGACTGCTATGGTTTCTGGGTATGTTTGGAGTTGTGAGTTTGAAAAGGGTAGAGAGGTTTTTGTGGAGATGAGGGGTTTGGGTTTGGAGTTGAATGAGTTTAGCTTGACTGCTGTGCTTGGTGCATTGTTTGATGAGAAAGAGGGGGAACAGGTTCATGGGGTTGGTGTCAAAATGGGATTTTTATGGGGGTGTTCAGTTCATTTGAGTAATGCAATTATGAATATGTATTCTAGGTGTGGGAATAAGCAGAATGCCGCAAAGGTTTTCGATGAAATTACTGACCCAGATGTTGTTTCTTGGACTGAAAGGATAGGAGCTGCTTCTGATGGTGTGGAAGCTTTAGAACTGTTCAAAATTTTGCACTCTGGGGATTTGAAGGTAAATGAATATACAATTATAAATGTATTGTCAGCCATTGTAGGGCTGGGGATGTTAAATCCCGGTAAGCAAATCCAAGCACTTTGTCAGAAGCTGGGGTATTTACGGGTGGTTTCTGTTGGCAACGTGTTAATATCCATGTATGGGAAGTGTGAGCAGATTGGTGATGCTAGGTCCATATTTGATGATATGCTTTGCCGAGATTCTCTCTCTTGGAATTCTTTGATTGCTGGATATTCTGAGAATGGACTTGTTACTCAGGCTTTGGAGGTACTTCGTTGCATGCGTGATATCTCATTACAGCCTAATGGGTATACTGTGGCTAGCCTTCTTGAAGTCGCCTCCAACTTGAATTCCCCAAGGCTGGCAACGCAAATCCATTCACATGTGATCAAAATTGGGTTCATGGTGGATGATCGTGTGGTGGCTTGCTTGATAGTGACATACGGGAAATGCAATTGGATTGATGAATCAAAAAGGATATTTTATGATATTAACAAGATAAATTTGGTACTTCTTAATGCAATGGCAACTAGTTTTGTCCGTTCCGGTTGTCATGCTGATGCTATCAATTTGTTCCATATCTCGAGGGGCTTGAAACTTGAAGTGGACAGTTCAACTTTCAGTACTGTCCTTAAAGCTTGTGGTGCTATAACTGAGTTGGAACAGGGAAGAGTGATTCACTCCCTGGCTCTTAAAACTGGATTTGATCAAGGGAGCTTTGTTGAAAGCGCTATTATTGACGTTTATTGTAAGTGTGGAAGCATAGGTGACGCAGAGAAGGTGTTTAGACATGCTTCCACAAACAATTTGGCTTCTTGGAATGCGATGGTGATGGGATATGCTCAACATGGTTTTCATGATGAAGTTTCGGAACTATTCAACAAGATGTCTAAATTTGGAGTAAAACCAGATCATATAACTTACCTGGGAGTTCTTACTTCATGTTGCCACGCAGGTCTTGTCAAAGAAGCTTGTAGTTACTTAAACTCAATGTTTCAGCGTGATGAGCTAATGCCACATATAGAACACTATGCTTGCGTGGTCGACCTACTTAGTCGACTTGGACTCCTAGAAGAAGCAAAGAGGACCATTGATCAAATGCCCATTTGCCCTGATGCTCATATATGGCAGATTCTTCTATCGGCCTGTACAATCCATAAAAACATGGACATGGGGAGAGTCGCAGCACAGAAGCTTCTTGAGTTGGAGCCTGACAATGAATCTGCTTATATTTTGCTTTCAAATCTCTATGCCTCAGCCGGTATGTGGAGTGCTGTTGGAAAAGTGAGAAAGGAAATGAAGGAAAAAATAGTCTACAAAGAGCCTGGTTCTAGTTGGCTTCAAGTTGGAGGATTGCTTCATTACTTTTTAGCTGACGATAAATCACATCGTGATAGTAAAGAAATACATACGGAGCTAATAAGGTTGTTTCGGCAAATGTCAGTGACATCAAAATTGGAAAATGACGGTCCAAGTTTAATGATCTATGACTTATAAAAACACATCATGAGAGTAAAAACATAAATATTGAGCCATTCACATTGCTTGCTTGGCTACCCCTTCTGGCATCCTCTGGGTTGACAAGTGAAGTACTTGCCATCTGATCAGGTTGGTTTTTCAATTTATGAAGTCCAGTCACATATGCTCTTGCGTTTAGTATTAGACCATATTGCGAGGTTTTACTATTTTATCCAAATATGCACATGTCTTCTTCCTTTTTGTTTGCACCCCCTCCAATCTCTATATAACATTGCTCATCAATTCTCTGTTCTTGGTTATGGATTGCATAAACAATTATTAACCTGCTTTCCAAGGTTATTTTCCATTGCTTCAACAGTTATGAGTATAACAATCAAACTTATAATATCGTCATGTTCTGCTAACATTGTGAATTGTGGCCTTGTAAGTGTTTAAAACTACAAATGAATTTAGCATCTTTGACACAAAAATATGCTTGAATGTTGGTTTCTGTTGTATAATCTGTGCCACTCGTGAAAGCCAGATATAGCCATTTCCTTGTCATTTTTTTGTTTTTTTTTTTCCTTTCTTTTCCCCAGTAAATTGCTATATGAGACTAGAAACTATCAATTGAGCTTGAACGGAATAAGAAAAACAAAATGATATAAGAAGAGCTAAATACATTAATAAGGCAGTGATCAACTGATCATACATTTTTAGAAAATGATATGAATCTACAATTTCTACTGATCTTGCTCTCACTAAAACTGGGTTTTCCTGCTGCGCTGTTTGCGATCTGAAGAGGCTTTGGAGAGCACAGAGACTATGGAATGAATGGCATTTGCAGCTATTCTTGATTTTATCTGTCCCCGCTTTGGAAGAGGCTTTCTGCTTCTGAAGCTTTTGGCAATTTCAGCTGCAGGAACATCAGAGACCTTGCTATTCATTTTGTGATTTGAAGAAATGTCGAATTTTCTTTTCTTTTCTTTTTTGCTTTAAGACTGCTTTTTTGTTTGATGGATGTGGATAGAGTGGCATTGGTTGGGAGTTTATATAGAGCTCATTGTATCATCAAAGGATGGGGGTGGATTGATCCGGGAAGATCAGAGAAGACTAGAAACAAGCTTTTTCAGACTGGTGTTTGTTAGGGGGCATGCCAGCGAGATTGTCTGGCTGTACAGAGATTCTTTTCAGCTCAACTTGAGACAATATAAATTTGTGTGATGATTTGGTGACTGATTATGATTGATTAAGAGTATTATCCATAGTTTAATGCAAAAGATTGGTTTGAGCTTGTCTTAACTTGAACACGTGCGGGTTATGTAGGAGCTCTGGTGGACCTTGAGGCTGGTCCCTGGTTTTCTTTAGTGGATTTGCTGAAAGGACTAGGGGAAGACAGACTTTAAAACAGCGGTAAGAATTTAATGGTTTTTTTAATTATGTTTTTGTCCGTGTTAACAGATGATTATATAATTTAAAGGCAAGTTGTGCGGATAACAGGGAGCAGAACATAATCCATTCATGTACATTTGTAAATTGTTTACTTCTAATGAATGTCCTTGTTTTCAGGGAGACCTTCTTGGAAATGTCAAACGGCCATTCTGCTACTTACAGGTGAAGCTATCTTGTTCTATTATTTGAATATGTTTGTTTTTTGGTCGAATTATTTGAATATGTGTGTTGTATTGTATCACATGGTTGGGTAGATTGATCCCCTAGGAAAAAGTCAAGTGAGATAGAGAGAGAGATGAAAATGATGAAGATTGTGACTGTTATTGATGCTCATTCCTTTTACTATAATTGTTCCGTATTATACCAAAAATGGAAAATAGTGAGAAGATCCATTTTAGACAGAGATTATGTATTGAAATTTATGTCTTAGCTGTCATCCATGGAATAAGAAAAAAGATTTGTGGTTATGCTGCTGTATGAAATACTTCACATGTGCTTGTGCTTCAGTACCCTGTTTTCGGCGTAGCCTGCAGAAACCAAAAAAAAAAAGAAAAGAAAGAAAGAAAGAAGTTTCCTCATCTCTTTGGTTCTCTCTCTCAAACATGTGCACTGAATCAATGGATCATCATGCAGGATTATTTAACTTGTAAAGTTTATTTTGTCCTTTTGTACAAAAAACAGAAGTATACCTTGTCTTTTATGTATAAATATGTAGATTTGCATTCTTAATTACTAGGGACGGGAAAATTCGAACATGAGACATCTTTTACTTGAGGTCGTAGTAGGGCGCCTTTATCAGAAAGTTTGACGTGTACTGTGGATTTTCAATCTAAAAATTCAGACAAAATTTATCTGAAGCAGTGATTTTGATTGACAGTGTCAAACTGTTTGATAATTTTCTCATCATATTATGTAAGCTACGAATATGTCCGCATATAGTTGTGCCCTAACAACCATATAAACATAGATGACATATTTTGGGGAAGAACACATTGCAATCGGCAACTAAGGGCTCCCAACCAACCATGTCCAACAAATTTCAGACTGTATTTTCATTTTTCAGTAAACAATTGCAGAATGATTGATTTCCGAGATGGCAAGACCTAAGCCCCTATGAAGTTAGGGCATCTAGGCATACATAGGGGTATCTAGGCCCATGCAATTCCCTGTCATGCTTCTTAAACCTCCACATCTTGCTGCAACAGTGCAATTGGTTAGGGTTGTGGTAGGGTTTCGTTTGGCCGGCTTATATTTTTCTTTTGCCTATATATACAACGTCAATCAATTCAAGACGCAAAGATTCCATTTTGAATTCAAATTTATTAAACGTCTGGGAACATACAAACATCTACACATAAAGAATTGCTGATTATAACAAGTGTGACACTATGTACATAGGGTTGCCAATATATTCCCATTGAACAACGTGGCACAAGTAGCTTATGATTTATTTCATATTTTATGTCTAGTACTTTGTTGATCACATCGATAAGGTAAATTCGATATGATGAACAATATAATCAATAACTCTGATACAAATAATTTTATTTTTATCGACTCGTTGTGATGCTTCAATGCTATATCCTCGGGAAAAAAAATATGATTCACTATTACTAGCAAAACCAGGGTGATGCCTGATGTGGTGATACTTAGATTTCATACCAAGGCACAAATATAGGCAAAGCAATCTAATGGAACTAAAACCATGTGGCGATTCCTTGGTTCAGGTAGTGGTGCAAATGTCCCTTTATTCTTTCCTCTATTCTGTCACACTAGTCCCTTGTACATATGAATGCTACATGATAATTGTTTGCTTCTCTCTCTGTCTCTCTCTCTTGTTTCAACTTTGGCACAAGGCAATGGCTAATGTTCTCAATTTCTCAGGCAAAACACCAAGTCAGAGAATGTGCCTCAAACCAATGGCAGGGCCAGCCATTGGTTCCATGGCCATTCAAAGAACATGCCAATTTGAGCAGAACAAAAGAGATGCTCTGCAACATTGCATCTACGTGAAACGGAAGGCAGAAAATAAACAGTTAAATGACCACAGGCTCTTTCCTGTCATGGCAGCAGCACAGAGAAGCTCAGGCATATATCCAAGTTCTCCTTCCCCATCAGACACAATCAAGAAATTCTACAAATGCATCAATGAGAAAAACTTAAAGCAACTAGGAGATTACATCTCAGAAGACTGCTACATTGAAGAATGCTCTTTTAACACACCATTACAGGGCAAAAAGGTCAATGATCTTTGTTCTTCTTGAAAACAAGAAGATCATAGTTTTCCTTGCAACTAACATAACCTAAATTGCATTCTATGCAGGAGGTAATGAATTTCTTTGAACAGCTGATTACAGGCATGGGTCAAAATGTCAAGTTCTGCATACAACACGTGTGCGAAGGAGATGAGCTTATAGGAGCAGCAAACTGGCACATGGGTATGTGTACTTAAATATGCCATTGTCACTCCACCTGAAATAAATCTAGTTCCATTACATATCTTGTGTATCTTCAAACTGGGTTATGTTTGGTATTGCAGAATGGAAAGACAAACAGATCCCCTACACCCGAGGCTGCAGCTTCTTTGAATTCTCCAAAAAAGGGGAAAAAATAATACTCAAGTACAGAAAGACAAATGTATTTCTTTGGCTTTACATTCTATTAAAGATGAACAATGCCTAACTGATTCTGATTGTCTACAGGAAAGCCCAAATTATCATTGAATCACCAATCAAACCAGGAAGTGTAGTGCTGGTAAGTCTGCCAACTACCGTCAGAAAGAATCCTTTGGCCTCTATCATCACAATAAGAAGAAAAAAATTAATAAAGTGAAGATTATTGACCATTTGATTTTTTTCATTATGTGTTTGTCCCTGTGGGGCAATTCAGAGTCTGTTAAAGACAGTGACTGCACTCTTTGATGGTTTCCCAAAAACTACCGAATGTAAGCCGAATTTAACTAAAAATTTCAAAACCTTAACTCATCTTATATATATATATCAATCACAGCATGACATAACATCAAGATATTTCTCCTGCAGGGTTCCTAAAGAGTCCTCATATCGTTTTTCAATGGTTATGGAAGATATACACAATACTTTTCGCACCACTTGTAGACAGCTACTTAAGGCTTTGGAACCTTGCAGCTCGATTGCTCAGCTATGCATACTACATTGTGCTTTACATTGCAAAGTTTTTCTTCAAGTAGAGAGGATCAGACAATGCCAGCGTTAGAAGGACAGATAAATCACCTTTCAGTCATCATTGTTATCGCGACTCCACCACGTTTCTAGCAGAGAGAGAAAAAGCAATGGTCCGAAAACCGGTGGAAGGGGCGGAGGCCTGCTGAAGGCGACAATTGGTTCGGTTTTCTGTTTCGCAACAAGTCCTCCTTCGCCAGGATCATTGTTCCCTTGTCTCTTTGGTGTTGAAGTGGCCACAGTACCTATAATTGATTACAATGTATCATATTAATCAGATAAAGAACTTGTAATGCCACACAATTATAAATTTATAAGTTATTAACTATATTAAAAGCATAAAGAGAGAGGAGAGGAGGAGGGTGTAAATTACCCCATGATCCTTTCATAGGGTAGGCTTGTTTGAACAACTTGATCTTTGCAGGGGACAACGCAGCTAATCCACGCATGTAGGCTTACTTTATTCTTCTCCTCACAATCAAGTAGCTAATATTCAAAGAAAAAAAAAAACACATACCTTTTAGATTTCTACAGAAAATTGCTCGCACCAATTTCAACAGGTTCATAACTGACTTGAAGAACAGTTGAGCAAATGATGGAAAACTTTCAATTTAAAAAAAAATCTAAAACCTTTTTGTTTTTGTGATCAATTCAAACAAACCCAACACACCTTCTAATCTTAAAAACACCAAAGATTATTTAGTTAGGCTGTTGATAGATTGGGTTTGGTCCGTACCCGGTGTGCGGTGCTTCAGTTGCTCTGCAACAACAAACGAAGAGACATAAACAGAGTATACCAAAAACCGTTGCAAAGGGTTCCAGTTCCAGATGATTCTTTGCTTTTTTCGGCCAGACAGTTCCATGTGGAAGCCAACTGAAGCTTCGGGAGTTTTCACGTTTCGGTGGAAAAATCATCCGCTTGGATTTTTCTTTTCAGCTGTTGACGCGTGTACTGATGATCCCCCCTCAAAGATCGCCACGTGTACAATTAAAATAGAAACGACGCGTCGTTTATATCATGAAAGAGGGAGTTGCGCATGTGGTTAGGTCGTTGAACTCAATTTAGAGAAAATGCAAAAGCGAAAAATGAAAGTAGACATTGATGGAGCCCAAACAAAGTATGGTTGGGTAGAGGCATTTTGGTGTATCTTTCAGAATAGCAAGTTTGGTAGCAAGCCAGTGCTCCCCATGACCTATTGTTGATGGAGACATGGATCGTTCTTGCAAAGAAAGAGCTGTGCTATTATCGTAGACACAACAGTAGTCGTATGCAAGAACTTCTCCTATAATGGTCTCTTGAGTAGTAAGTCATCACTTGATGAGCCGCATATAAATAAATAGATGATGATGGCAGGGAAATTGGCTTTGAGCCCCTTTGGCTGTTGCTCATCTCCTAGAGAAGGCACATAATTATAAGTGACCATGTACATGAACCTACAGCTAGCTGCTTACTTGATCGATCCATGACTGGAATCATGCTTGCGACTGTGTAATATATATTATATTCAGAGTTCATGCAGCAAGCCAGCTCAGCTGGTGTGTGCCAAATTTTCAAAGAGAGAAACAAAAACATGAATGACGAACAGACCTCAGGACCTTTACAGCAATTCCAAAAACAGCCAACTTATCAGCAGCACATACTATACAGCAAGGATGTTAATTTCCATGAAACTAAAATCTTCGGCCTAGAAATTACGACTACTTCTCACATATGTAAAGTCCAACTTAATCACCTGTAAAGTCCAAATAAATAGCACGTTTTATTATAAAAGATCTCGTTGGTGTTAGTAGAGCCACTCACTTGTATATTAGATTTCATTTTATCAATTTTATGATAATAGTTCAATAGATGGCAGCTTGTGATAAATAACTATAATTTTTAGTTTGGTAGACCGTTTAAGTTAAGTTTGTACGAATTGTTAGGTTACTTTGGATTTCAAAATCTTAAAAATGATGGGAAACGACTTAGCATTTTTAAAAAAATTAGAAACAATATTCATGTGACCTAAACATAGGCCATTACTTACAATTCATGCATATATGTACCGGCAAGATGTTATAATCATTTTCTAAGTTCTGTTATATTTTTTTAATCAACGACGGAAGCGAGATTTGAGAACAGAAATACTACTAGACAAATAGTTACTTGAGCTTCACATCTTATGCATTGGTGTTCTTTGGATGAGATGATTGAAGAACAAAGAATTTCAAGTATTGAAATTTTCTTAATTAGATTTACATTTTTAGGAGCCTTTAGCCAATTTTGATGGTGGATAGGTTCCTACACGTCGACAATATTTGTCCTTGAGCGCTTTCTTGCACGTCTGCGGTTGCTGGTTTGAAGAAGTCTCTCACTCCCTTTCTATGAGCTTCGACAAAATGAAGCAATCACCAGTATTTAAAAATTCAAAAAATTCAAAAAAATAATGTCATCTTTTGGATTTCTTAGTTCTGCGCAGGACTTCCTTTTCCAATTCTTCCATGCCCCCAACCTCCTCTATTTCCTACATACAACATATCCAACAATTACTATTTCATTGGAAATTAAGAACCTTTGTTTCAAAGCAAGAGGCTTGAATATTTTTACCTTGGGTCCCAAGAACAACCCATATGGCACTCCATTCAATATGCAAGAGTGATGGAGCTATTCAAATTCACAAGAAATAATCAAAACCCAAAAAGAATGGCAATGTCAAGAACACAAAATGGGCAAAGAAAATCAGAGTAATTTACATAATGGGCTGCAGCAACTTTTCGTAAATAAGGGACGTCTGCGATTGGCCCAACTGGAAATCTACGGTGCACAAGACCATCATGCACAAACATGTAAGCCATCCCAAAAGTTGTTATTCCTAATCCCTGTACCCAAAACAAACAAACAAAAAAACTTGGTTAACTGACTATTTTTCTAGTTTTTCTTTCATAAGAAAATGATTGACTGATACCGGATATCAATCTACAATACTATTGATGTTATCGATTAAGTACGGGTAAATTATTCATAACCGATATAAAATAATCTTTTTATATATATATATATATTTGGGAAATACTTACAGCACCAAAACAGAGTCCTGGAAACAAACCCTTGTTGAAGAAACCATAAGAGAGAAGAGCAATTGCAGGAACAACATTGATTATGGCAAAGATATCGTTGAGCTCGAAAGGGCCATCCCTAGCTTGGTGATGAGACTGCAAAAATAATCAAACAAAATTAAAAGATCCTCAAAACCAATCTTCTTCCTTATGAAAATTTAGATTAGAATTGGAAATTTTATATAAAACTGACCTCATGCATATGCCACAGTGAAGCATGCCACAAAGCTCTATGAGCCCACCTTGCCCAAAACTCCATACCCACCTTTGAAACAAGCACAAAGCAAACAATTCAAATTTGTCAGCTTCCTTGGAAAACAAAGATTTCCCATCAATGAAATTGCCATGGTTTTGATAATCCATTATTTACAGCAGAGCCCACAGAGAGAGCAAATGTACCCAGCATTTCAGGAAGGATATATTCTCCAAACTGTTTGATAAAAAATTGATCAAAACCCATGTCAAGAAAAACAACAAATAAATAAAGAAATAGCATTTAATTAATTTTCATTACCTCTGTTTGCCAAGAGAATCTGTAATATACAGCCATGGCAGCGGCTGAAGTGACTCCAAGGCTGGACATGATTGCAGCAACAAGGTAGGTGTTTCTCTCTGATCTCTTTCTCTCCAATCTCTGTGCCACACGTGGCGTTATCACAGTCCACCTCTCTGTGTTCGTCTCTTCTTGTGGTTTATGATCCTTCTCTGTTTTCTTTTCCATAACCAAGCGCAGAACGTTCCATCTCTTCTTCTTCAGGTGGGCTGCTGTTGAGGAAGCTAAAACAGAAGAGGGGATTGTTTTGGAGATGGGTTTTCGAGCAAGTAGAGTTTTTCGACCGAAATTGTATGTTACAGTGACTGAGGAAGCAGCCATGGGAGAAAAGCTCCAAGCTTTGAGTTCAAAGCAAACAGCTTGGCAATGAAAGAAAGATAGAAGCTTGAATTTACAAGGGTTGAGGAAAATATGGGAAATGGGACAAAACGAAGTTTAGGTGCACAGGACAGGGGCATATGAGGCAGCTCCAGCCATTTTAAATGGCTGAGTTTTTTTAACTGAAGGGACTTTCTGTTTCTGGGCAACCATGGGGTCAAGGTTTGAAGGGTGCTATGGTGTTTGTTGCTTTGGGTGCAAAAACTCTTTTCTTTGCTAAATTACAGTTTTTTTGTAATTAAATATTGGTAGTTCTTGACTTTGATGTCTTTTTTTTTTCTTTAACTTCCTAAAACCACTTAAAAACATATTTCACAATCTTCTCTCCATGTGCTTTTAGTGGTTTGAGAGTGTTTTAGAAAAGAAAAGAAGAAGAAAAAAATGCATGCAATAGTCTAATTGAACCATTTTAGAGTGTAAGGATGGAGAGTTCCTTTCCATTTTCAGTTTAGAAATCAAACAAATTTTTGGTAAACAAAATTGAGATTCTTGCTCTGCTCAACAACTTGGCCGAAGTAGTACCTATTAATCTGTTGTATATTTAGTATTTTTAGCAGGTGCTTTTGTTGGATATGTAACGTCAACCCCATAAGGGAAGGTGATAATTAAGTTGGAAGCATTCCAAATTTATAAAAAGAACAGTATGTTTTCACTTTCTTAGAAATTTTACCAAACATTTCACCATCATTTTTTGCAAAATTGAGAGGAAGGGGGATGTTTGTTTGTTACTAATTTTAAGCAATTAACAATCTAATACTAATCATGCCAGTCCTCACTTTTGGGTGGTTGTGATAAATTAAATGAGGCCCTTTCCCTTAGTATACAATTGTAGGGGCTTTTTTGTTCCAACATCTATAGATGGGCTTGAGCTGCTATAAAAAGCAAATGGATGGAGTTGCCCCTATGCCTGAGTTCAAGAATTAGGCCCCAAGAGTGCTTCAAAAGGTTCGTGGAGCCTTAGGAAGCACTTTGATTTCTTTCACCAACAAAACAAACAGCTGTTTATAGATCAATATTTTGCCATAGCTTGAGAAGCTTGTGGCATGGGAGTTGAGCATTCATGAGTTTAGCATTAGAGTGAGAAAGCTTGGATTTCCCATGAGAAACAGAGGTTCAAAGCAAGGGGAGAGGGAAATTTGTGAAGATTTGTTGAGGGAAGAGAGGAAGAGATGAGGATGGAAGGATGGGTGGCTTGAGTAAATTTCCAGCCACTTGGCGAAAGCTTCGTCGCGCTCTTGGATGGTTTGCTAGAAGAGAAAAGGAGAAGATGGGAGAACAGGGCTTGAAATTGAAGGTTCCAGTAGTGAGTGAGGATGCTTGCTCTCTCTGGATGTGTTGTTTTGCTGGGTAGGAGATGCCCCCTTTTATAGGCTCTGGAAGCTCATTCTTCCCAAGAAACCCTAGCTGGTTCTCCCCAATTTTGTCAAGTCTTCTACCCCATTTCCCTTTACTTCCTTTGATTCAACCCCTTTTGGTGAAAATTCCTTAATCCATGCACATAGGGGTGGGCATCAAAACCGGAATACCGATACCGTCCCGAAACCGTGCCATTCCGTGTCAAACTCGTGCCAAACCGTTTGGTGTTGATGCTTAAACGGGATGAAACCGTGTCATCCCGTTACTGTTTGGCACGACACCGGTATCAGATTTGTGATCCCGCTTGGTGCCATACCGTACCGTACAGTAACTAATTAATATTAAATATTAAATATTAAAATATTATTTCCAACATTTCAGATTTAGTCAACCTCTCTTTCTTCTCGTCTTTCTCCTTTTTATTCTCCTCCCTCTCTTTTTTAATTCTTTTTTCCTCTCTCTCTCTCTCTCTTTCTTTATTCTTTTTCCTTCTTCCTCTCTTCTTCT